GAAAGCATTTAAGCTGGAAAATAGGCCTGTACGCATGTTTTTTTTTCAAAATCTCACAACATCTGTTTTGACGTTTGAATTCTTGGTTGCTTGTTGTTTCACCTGAAAAAGTTAAAACTTGAAAAATACTTAGTTACCGAAAGAGGCGCTTTTCAATGGTCTTTCTCTGAAGAAACTGAACGGCTCTTATTTCCTAGAGCTTTAAAAAGTAACTCAGAGTTGCACGGCTGAGAGTCTATTATCAGTAAAAAAGGGATAAGGCTACAGACGAAGATGGGTGTGTTTTGGAATGTGCGCATCATACTTCCCTTTGGAAACTTGTGCCGTTTTGGATGCGATTTGGGCTCTAGAATGCCTGGAGCTGGCGGCCTGAGTGCAGATCTATGTTTCTAGCCTCCCAGATGAGTGTAATACCAATTAACCAATTCTGTTGGGTGGAAGGCTTTGATGGTCAAAGTAGGATTATCCCGGATTTCACTCCCAGACGGTGCGGCGTCACTTGCCACCACATCATCTCCTCGCATAACGTTGCTAATGTCTTAGTGAGGTTCAGGTGCGTTATTGAGGAAAGTGCGAAACACTGAATACTCGAAGAAAAATATTCTTTGCAGGAAGTTTTGTATTCCTTTTTGGATCCTTGTAGTCTTTTGCAGTGAAACTTTCTAGTGCATCTTCACTTTTTCACATTTAATTCCGCTGTTGATTATTCCATCACATTGTTCCATCAGCTATCGCATTTTTGCTTGTTTAAACGGGTTTTTTAAGTGGTAGTGAGCAATAGGCGGTTTCCTCTGCTTATCAAGGATTGGTGACTGTTCTGTAATTATTCTTTTTTAGTTTAGCAATTGATTTTTTTTCAAAATTCAGCAGCTTCTAAAGTAGTCATCACCAAGCAGTGGTCATACTCATTGTAATTTTTCGTTAAGGAGGAAGAAGAAGAGAAAAAGAAGAAGCACACCTTGGACAGTGACGAAGAAGAAGACGATGATCATAAGCAGCTGGATATGCGAAAGGTTTGTATAGCCTCGTTTTCTTCATTTGCTTTAGAAAATTCGCTGACTATTCTTTTGAGTGGACTAGGGCGCCAGGGGCAAAGAGGGGGGACGCATTCAAGGGCTCTTGACACAAACTAGGATTGCCGTAATGGTTGTGAGAATTCCGTCCAAGTCTAGAAAAGATGGAACTCCAATGAAAATCAACTCATCTTCTGGAAAAAATTAGTGCTGCATTAGAACCTAGTTTTAGGGGAGGCGTTCTCACGGCCTCTCCTTCTTGGCCTACTTGCCTCTCATTTTTGACCGATAATCCTATCTATATGAAATCTGGCTTTAGGTCGAAGGCCAGGAAGACTCCACCTTGGATTTCGATGGATCAACGAAAATAACGGCGTTCAACATGAAAGAAGATCTGGAGGATGGGCATTTCGATGACACTGGAAACTTTATTTTCAATAAGAAGGAAAAGGTAGTAAATACTGCTACATTTTTCATGGATATGGTGTATTTCTGTCTTTTCTAATCGAGCTGCGTTGCGTAGACGGACAAGACAATCGTAGTTTGTCGCGACGTCGCACGCGACATGTGTGCGGCATTTAATTATAAGTTCAGGTTGTCAGGCCGCGTACAGTACCAAATTGCGCGTGAGATTAATTGTATTGGCCGTAGATGCACACAACAGATCGCAATTTTCGGGGTACTGTACGCAGCCTGACAACCTGAACTTATAATCTTGTGTAGTGCGGCAGATCTGCGGTGTGCGTCGAATTGTCGATTGGAGCAGCGCAACCCATAAGAAGTGAGGCGGAAACAAAACTCCTTGACAGGAAAACTCGTCTGCCGGGCGCGACATCGCTTGCCACATCCACCAAGGCAGCATATTGCGATTGTCTTGTCACATAGTCGCTTTGTACTTTATTCGATTCTGATGTGATGCTCAACCTTATAGGAAATCAAGGACAACTGGTTGGACGAAATTGATTGGTCCAAGGTCAAGGAAAGGGCCGGTGATCAATGGGAACAATCAAATGTATGTGCCCTCCCTTCTTTTTCTACTATGTGCTCCCTATAATTTGAATAAGTTCAGGATCAGGATGATGATGAACCGCCTGCGCCAGTACTGAACGATATTCGACGAAAGGAGATATTTTCTCAATTAATAGCCATCGTGAAACCCAACCAGACGGTTGCCAGAGCATTGACTGAGCTAAAGAAAGCCAAAGGTTTGTATCAGTGCCTTATTGGTTTCCTCGAGGTTATAGAAGTGTTCATACTCTGCGATTCGGACACAATCCAATCCAAGTGCGACCAAATCGCTCTCACGATAAGAGCGATCGAATCGCAGAGTATGGACGGAATATGATCAGAAATGGTGAGTTTTATTGGGCGGAATCCCACGTTCCCATGGTGCATGTTGTGTTCGATCCACTTTATCTTTCAGTTCAACGGTTCGTTCCTTCAGGTTTAACGGCAGCAGAAGAGCGTAAATTACGCTGGAAGGCAAAGAAGGAGGGCAAGGCGATTGCCGAATCGGATTCGCAGAGAGATACAAGATTAATTAGTGGTTTGGCGGACGAATTAATCTCAGCTGGGCATGTAGGTTTCATCTACCTTTCAACAACGTTTGGTTTCCTTTGGCATAATCGGGAATTTTTTTGTATTCTTCTACTGTTCACATTGTCTTTGTTTCCTTCACTTTGATACATGTTTTTGGGTGCAGATTAGCTTGAGGTGGGGGGGGGCACATTGCAGTTTAACATCGATCTGCCGGTGCTCCCTGTGGGGACCTGTGAAAACTTGTAATGCTGTGCTATAGCAGAAGCTTCGTTTAGACTTGTCTGCGGGTTTTGACAACGTGAGACGTGCAGTTTAACAGCAGAAGAAACTAGCGGAAGTGCAGCTGCCCCCCCCCCCTCTCCCCACCCCCAATAAAACGCTCAGGTAGAGTGGAGGGCATTTCTTTTCTGCTAGTTTCTCAGCGAGTCTGGTCATCTGCGTTCTAAGCTTAAATATTGGTTAGGGGGACTGACATAGAGGCGCGGCCTGGCACCCGCTACTACAAATTACTTTAGCGCCGTTTTACTTTACTTGTGAAGAATTTCAATTTCTGTTCTTCTGCTCTTCTAATGGTGAGTCGCTAACTAACTAATGAGTGAATTTTCAGATGGATGTCTACGAATGGACCCGGGAGAAAATTGAATTCCTTTTGAAGAAGTTAGAGAGCACTGCAGTTGATTCTGTTGATATGTTCTCAGATGAGCCAGGTTGGTCACAAGGTTCCTACGGCATTTTCTGCGTAGTCTTCTTTTCCTCGTGCTTCATCAGCTTTTTCTAGGATGTTTACCTTTTTACATATTTTAGCGACCGCTTCGTCAACCTCAGCTGATGCTTCAAACTCCGTTTTCGATGATGAAGAGCAAAAATGGGAGTACAAAGAATCTGACACAGCTGAGATCCAGGTGAGCTTCGGAACAGTACATTCCATTCCTCTCTTTTTCCATTTTTTAGGCCTTTTACGCTTGACGTTGTCTCTTATTTTTTTCTTATGACTGGTAATTTAGGGCCCTTTCACATCGTCAGAAATGGCATCACGTCAACAAAATGGCAAGCTGAGCAGTGGTGGTTTAGCAAGAAAGTGTGGAACCGCCAGTTTTAACCCAGTCGCTCGTATCGACTTTGATTTATATTGTTGAAATTCTTTCTAGACGTTAATTTGTTCCCATTATCGATCGTTTTATTACCTCTTTACATTTGCAGTATACAGTTCCGTCTGTGAAACTTGTGAATTTGTTATTTATATTGAAAAGTTCTTTTTTATAGATCTCTCGTTGGTCAATAAATATTTTACTGTGATAAAAGCAATTCTGTTGGTTTCATTAGAACCGGTTTTGGACCTTGCTATTTTGCGATTATTTTCTTTTCCAAGGCTTCTATGTGAATTACTTCTATTACAGTCTCATGGCTGGATATGGCCCTCGAGATTACGACCATTTATTTAAGTTGCTAATCATCGGTGATAGCGGTGAGCGGCCAAGACTTCCCTAAATTGAGCAAAAATGTATGAGAGTCACTTTGCAGGGGTTGGTAAAAGCAGCTTGCTTCTTCGATTTGCTGACAACGTCTTTTCTGGTCAGTTTTTTCACCCTCTGTTGTTATTATTCAATCAGGTATTGCGTTTTAAGAGCATCATATATTTTGCCGTGTACCGGGTGGCGAAAATTTTCGTGCGCGTAACATTTGACCCCGGTTTGAGCATTTAAAGGAATTATCTACCTTTTTCTACATATCCCATTCATTCTGGAAGCAAAGTTACCCCAGTGTTACCTCTCAGCATGACGGGGATCCATATTACGATTCCACCAATGCGCGTCGTACGTTGAAGAGTCATCATCGGAAAGGCGTATTTAGCTCTAAGAGAATCCCGCCCCCAGACCTAAAGTCCTTACTACACAGCTACTGTTTTCGATACTTCCAATTGAGTAACTATTTGGTGGATATAGCAGCCTCCTACCCTGCTTGAGCAGGTTTGAAGAAAAAGTGGATGTTCTTTTTTCTTTGGAAAGTGGTAGGGACGTGGTAACAGTCAGTAGTATAGTACGCTGAGAAAAAAAAGGGGGGGGGGGGGGAACCGTATCAGGGGAGCAAATTGTGGAGGTCGTGTTTCGCAATTCTCCGGCAACAGGACCTGCCGTGCTGCCAACACAGCAGTCCATTACCTAGAAACCAAAATCGGGTCTATCCATACGAAGAGCATGCTAATAGCGCAAACCAGGATCCAACAGAATTTTTCGTTCCGGCTTTTATAAAGTACCATCTGAGCGGTTGACATAGAAGGTCGTTTTTCGTTTCGTTTCTCGTTTTTCTTCATACGGAATGACAGAGAAATGGAGCAGACTGCGTGTAACTTGGTCTGTGTAATCTTATCTCGTCGAAGAGGGGGAGCATTTTCGTGGGTACAGGGATCTTGGCACTTACCATCTCTATCGCAATCGTCTTCAATGGGTGGATTTCGGCTAATTTATAATGATGGAACTTCATTCTTGTACAACCGGTGGTGTTCACTTATAGTATCCAAAGCCAGACGGGTTGGCTGTGTTCGATCCAGCCCGGATACGAATTGTTCTTCATTGGGACCAGCTAGGCTCGGACAGCTTTTTCTTTTAATAGCGTGCACTCTGCGGCACCGCTCATAAACACTGTGATCGTCTGCGCGCGATAGCGGTACCGCACGTAGATTATGACTCACACCGTCTGACCGTCGGGCTGTCTGATGCACTTCCCTATCATGCACCGAAAATCGCGGTTTGAAAAAAAAAACCCGGGAGCTCGTTGGACACACTAATGATGGGAAATAGATCACAACCTTCGAAGTTCAACTTTATCAGACAGTAATGATTCATTAGTGTCATCAATATTCATAATGACCCTTATTTACCTGGTGATTTTGTGAAGCTGTCTCACGTTTGCCTCCTGCAGGCGTGATGAGCTTATCTTCTCCGAACGCTGGTACGAAAGTATTTAGCAATACTGTCATGGGGGTCTTTCCTTGATCAGGTTTCGTTCTTGAAGACAGGGGCAGGTTGTTGTTAACACAAGCAAGCGTTCCAAAAGTTGTACTGGCACTAGTGGCACTTTTCATTGCCCTTTTTTCGAAATCCGAGCTCAACTTTTCCCGAAACTTCCCGGAGGCGAAATCGGCCATACAGTACTACTCAGGGATAGCTTAGCGTCCCTCAACCCCTCAGTAGATGTGTTTCGTATATCAAAAGGCGTCGTATCAAAAAGAACGGCTTTTTACCTGCTTTTATTCTGCAGTCTCAAGTTTTGAAGTATGTTTGCTTGCTACTTCTTGCAAACAAGAAAGCAGCTGCAGCTTGTCTATCTTAGAGATTCACTTTCTTGTTTTTCATACTGCTGCCTTCATTATTATGATTTTAAGAGAATGACATAACGACAATTGGCGTCGACTTCAAAATCCGGACAGTTGATA